ATCAGTTTATTCATTAAAAGATATATGAGTCCTTGTGAGAAAATTATCCAAAGTAGAAAATATAATATATATCATGTTATTTTTAGACTACTGGAATTGGCATTGAAATTGCTTGTTGTTATAGCAGGTGTCGAAAGAGCATTTTTTACCATGAATATTATAAAAAATCGACTGCATAATAGAATTGGAGATTAATAAATGAATGATTTATTAATTCCTTATATTGAAAAGAAGTTTTAGATTCTATTGATAATGAAATAATCTTTCAACTCTTTTAGAATATGAAAAATATATGTTATAAATTATAAGTTGTTTACTATCTCATATTTAATATTATATGAAAATTTTTTTTTTTGGAAAATTTGGGATCCTAAGCTCATATATTAAAGAAAAATTGAGTTACAAGTAAGAAACAAAATTCTGTAATAGAAAAAGAAGAGTGAATCCAAGGAAAAAGAACCAGGATTCAACTCAAAACAATTACAGCAGAAGAGGGAGAGGAAGAAAAACAACAGGGACTCAGGCAAAAAGAGAGCACCCAAAAAACTCATCCAGTATCAGATAAAGATTGTGAATAGAATTTGGGAAAGAGTCTGTTTCCCTGGTTGCCACCGCCATGCAAAAAAGAGCAAAAACAGGAAGTGAACCATCCAAGGGGAAAATCCAACAGCGCACAGTCAATTGGTGCTCCCAGGTCATCATCGTCCCTCCAAATTCCCCCTCCAGAAAACTTGCAATGAAATCCACCAGACAAAGAACTGGTCAGAAAAGATAAGGGAACTTTTCCTTAAGCAACCACATTTTTCCAAGTGCTAGTTTTCTTCCTAATAACCAATTTGATGTTACCAGTCACCCCAAGAGGAGCTAACCAAGAATTTGAGAAATGCCTGTTGTTTCTCTCCCTCTATAGATGATAAATAGTGAATGTCATAACAGAGAAACAAAAGTTTTTCTCAAAGTTGGAAGGAAATTTAGAGTCAAGACAGTCATAAGCTTGCATCAAGGTAGGTCTTAATAAAAACCTATCAAAAATCAAAAAAATTAATAACATATAATAGAAAGTGAAATCGCATTCAAAGAAGATGTGGTTATGAGTTTCCGGCAGATTAAAGCAAAAAGAGCAGTTAGGAGGAACCGACAACCCCCTCCTAATAAGCAAATCAACACATTTCAGTTTATGAGTAATAGCCATCCAAGCATAACTAGCAAACTTAAGTGACCCCTTTTTGTGCCAAATAAATCTATGCCAAGCCACCTCTTCCAAATGGGAATAAAAAAGGGCAGATAATTGCTTAAAAGTAGGACTAGAAGAGCCATCCCAAGTAATAACAGAATGATCCATGATGCCCACATTCAAAACAACATTACTAAGATGGGACGACAAGAAATCCGATAAAACCCACTGATCATTCATGATAAAATCCACAACCAGTTTAAAATTTAGTCTAGAACCACAGCAAACATCCCCCAGCAGACGTCCATCCAGCCAAGGATCCCATTTGAAAGAAAAATTGTAGGTGCCACCAACAGAAAAAGATAAATGCACTTTAATATTATGAGCAACAAAACAAATCACCTTCCAGAATTTAGAAGCAGAAATAGGGGGAATTTTAAATGGTGATTCAAATTTAGCTTTCAACCAAGAGCCAGCCAAGGAAGGAGATTGAAACAAACTCCAAATAAAGGAGCAACTCACCGCAAAGTAATAAGCATCGAAAGAGAGGATGCCAAGGCCCCCATAAGCCTTAGGCTTAGTAATGTTATTCCAAGCAATTAAATGCAATTTCCTATCTTCAATTTTACCGTGTAACAAAAATTTAGAGCAAAGCTTACTAATTAAAGAACGACAAGCTTTGGGTATTATAGATTCACGAATCTAGTAAGCAATCATATTGGATATAGTAAACTTCAGAAATTGCAACCTTTCGGCAAATGATAAAAACTTCACTTTCCAGCCTGCAAAAAGAGCCGTGATCTTGTCCAAAAGAGGTGAAAGTGGGAAAATTTAAGTCTGTTAAGGGAAATAGGGAGCCCGAGATAAGTCAAGTAAGTGTTGGTGTTATCAATACCCAGAATATCAGCAATAAGGCTAACAGAGATAGAATCCTTGGCAAAAAGGATGGAGCTCTTACTAGGATTAATATGAAGATTAAAACCAATCCCAAAAAGATATAAAGCATCCTTCAGATAATTGACATTCTCAACCTCAGCTTTACCAAAAATCAAAAGATCATCCACATACATAAGATGGTTAATGTCAACTCCATTATAAGATAAACTCGTGAAGTGAGGGGAGTGAAGACTCGAGGAGAGAGCATCCATGGCAATACAGAACAACAACGGGGAGAGGGAAGCCCTGCCTTAAACTAGAAGAGGATTTAAAAAAGCCTTCAAGAGAGCCATTGATACAAATAGAAAAGTAAACATCAGTATATACCCCTTAATCTAGGAAATAAAGATATCAGAAAGCCTTTGAGCTTAAGATGATGTAACAGAAAATCCCTTGATAAAGAGTCAAACACTTTCCTAACATCCAGTTTAGCATAAAAAAGATTAGAACCATCTTTAAATTCCCTCTGCAATTCTGCCGCCAATATAATGTTATCAGAAGAGTTTCTTTTGGAGATAAAACCAATTGGTTATCATAAATGATGTGAGGAAGAACTACCTTCAAACGGTTGGCAAGAGGCTCTGCAATCACCTTATAAAACACATTACACAAAGAGATATGTCTATAATTAACAATATGAGAAGCATGAGGGCCTTTAGGGATAAAGGCAAATGCAGTGGTTTTGGTGGCTCTCGATAAGAATCCCGTAGTGAAATAACTTTTTATAGCCCTACAGAGTTGGGGGCCCAACAGATGCCAAGATTTCTTATAAAATTCAAAAGAGAAACCGTCGGGTCCAGGGGCAGCCATAGACTTCCCAGAAAAAACAATTTTCTTAATCTCCTCATAAGAAATAGGCGCAATAAGAGAGGGGATAAGCCGAGAAGGAATAACATTTCCAACAGGGATAGAGACATCCTCTCCCAAAACTAGATTAGGAGCATTAAACAAAACATTAAAGTGAGAAATAATAGGTTCAGAAATGCAAGGATGAGATGAGAAAGTACCAGAATCAGTGGTAATTCCCTAATAATATTCTTATTATTCCTAGCTTTAATTTTGGCATATAAGAAGCCCAAGTCATCTTCCCCTTTCGTAAGCCAATAAGCTTTAGCACGCTGAGTAATCCAAGAGGTCCAAGCCGAATGATGAGTATCTAATTTCTCATTAACCTATTTAAGATTGCTGTTTAAAGAAGCACATAAAGGTTGAGCTTGAAGATCCTTTAAAAGATCATTTTGAAGATTCTGTAAATCCAAGATAGAATTAGATAAATAATTGGCAGACACCCAATTCTTCCCCTTGATAGATCTTTTAAGGAGTCTGAGACAATAACCCCATAGGAGGTCTATCAAAAGCATTGATAACCTCATCCCAGAAAGATTCAAACTTAACCCAATAATTTATAAACATAAATCTTGGCGTAATGGATGAAGAGGCATTGTCAAAGAAAATCAGGGGAGAATGATCAGAACCTCCAGGAGGGGCCACTTTGTAGAAAGCAGACTGATAAAGATTGAGAAGAGCCGGGTTCACTAACACCCTATCCAACTTAATGTGAATTGGAGAATCAATCCTTTAATTGAACCAGGTATAAAAAGGCCCAACAAAAGCAAGGTCTTGAACACCACAGTCAAAGATGCACTTAATAAGCTCTCCCAAATTTGAAGAATTAATAGGATTCCCACCATCTTTCTCGTAATAAAATCTACAGCAATTGAAATCTCCAAGAATAATCCAAGGTTGATCTTCAGAGGGAACAATATTACGGAGGTCATCCCAAAAGATTTTCCTGTCATTCAAATCATTAGCAGCATAAACAACAGAAAGTTGAATAGGAGGCGAATTACCAGCAACTAAGATGCCATTGATCAGCTGAGAAGAAGTAAACGTCGGGTTAAATGTGACAAAGGATTTGTCCCATTTAATCCAAATTCTCCCAGCAGAGGAGAAGCAAAAATTGTTGTAGGAGGACTCATCATCAAAAACTTTGTGGGAATTGAGAAACCAAGTGTCCAACGAGGATTGAACATGAATTTTGGCCTCCAGAATACACAAAAGTTTGAGACTAAAAGACGAAACAAGCTCTCTGCAAAAACGAACTTTGTCCGGGTTGTTAAACCTCCTCACGTTCCAACTAGCAAATGGTGTGCAAGACATTAATAACGAGAACCTTTAGCCTTTTTGTCGGGTGTAGGCTTACCCTTCTTCGATTCCTTGGTGGTAATAGTTTTGCTTTTAGAGTTGGAGAGATTCTCTAAGGACGAGCATTGCTCATTAGAAGAGGACAAGAGGTTGGAAGGAGAAGAAACCAACAAGCCATCATCCAAAATAGGAATTTTCTGTTGCAAACTAGAAGAGTCATCTAATTTGTCTTCATCAGGAAGTAAAGTCAAAAATTTGTTAGAGGTCGGAAGCATAGGAGGGGGAAGACGAGAAGGAGACGGGAGATCCGAAGACAATGAGGTTTCTATGGGAAGGTTGAGATTAGGAAGAGGAGGTCCAACAACAATAGGCTAGGAAGGTTTGGGGGAAGCACATGGTGTGGAGGAGGCACCAGAGGTAGACATAGGCACTAATTTTGAAGGGGTGGTTTTAGGGGAGAGCAGTGAATTGGACGGGCCAATTCCAGGGGGAATAAATAGTAGGCAGTGTGGGAGGAGGGGCTATGATAGGAGCAGCCAAAGTGGGTCTGGGAAATGGTGGTTTAGATGACATACTCACATTCCTGGAGTTAGGATGACTACTAGTGCTCCTACCACGAGGACGGTGGTTGGTGGGGATAGAAGGTTTAGGATTTGGGTTAGAAGAGCAGAGAGAGAAAGGGTGAAACAGAGAGCCGCAACCCTCACAAGGAGAAGGTTCACAAGGAGAAGGTTTTCCGTCGTAAACAACTTTGAGGTCCAAGTCATCTCCGTCGATCTCAATGGGAATCCCATAGGAGGTCTTCATCAGGAAATAAAAAAAAAAAAAAAAAATTTTAATCAAATAACATAGAATCAAATAATTAAGGACCCCTCAATATATTTTCTCGACAACTCTCCAGATCGATCTCTGTTTCAAGAGTTCGGTCGTTGCTGCTCTCAAGAATGTCGTGGAAAAACCCATTGGTCACTGCCGAAGATCATGGGACAATGCTATCAAAGATTTTTGCCTACTGTTTTGATGATTGCGTGACATAGCCATCAAGGATAAGGATCTGGTCCCGCTGCCGTTGTTGCCAAAGATCTCCTGGTCTCATTGATCTTCAAAAGCCCAAGCTGCCGCAAATCATTTCCTTGAACCCGAAACTTCTTGGCATCTTTAATCCCTTTCTTGAATTAGAAACTGACTAATCGGGGTCATATTTCTTCCTTCAAAGATCGTTCACACACCATTAACCCGCAAATAATCGTTCAGGTAATTTCTTCTTTTGAAAATATTTTGCTCCACTGATTCCTCTTAGAGCGAAGTCATACCTCACAATTTACAGAAAGTAATGCCATTTTGTATTAGAAGCTATTTAGAACTACTAGGTTTTTATGGTATCTTGGGTTCTGTTAGGAGACATGCAATCTCATTTTATTTTTTCTTTGGGATATGGACTTGTCATGAGCGCCTCGTGCATGTGATTGCTTTTGTTTTCTTTTTGGTTTTTTGCTTTTTTTTTAAGTAAAATTTCTTGCAATTCCCCAGTGTTTTGGTTATCTTACTTTTGCAAGGAGTTCTCAGCAGCCTTTTGTTGAGAATGCTACCTACTGCTGCCATTCTTCTAAAGAAAGCAAGCGGAATACTACTCTCTTAACACTTGTATAACTAAGCCTCATTTATCTGATAGACTGTGGCTTTTCATGATTGTATCCAGTACTGCTTGAATAGTTCCAAGTTCCAACACTTCTTAGATTTTTAGATTCTTTGACTCATTCTAAATGCAATGCCTTGCTTCAGATGCATGAGAAATGTTATCTGATATTTCTCTTGTAACTATCAATGCTTATCTTAAATTTGTTTTTGAAAATGTTTTTTTTTTTCTAAATTTCCTAAACTGATATACATTAGAAGAGTTTTGAAGGCAATAAAGTTGTCAAGGATGTCATCTGTGGTCCAAGGGAGAAAAAATATCATTACTATAAGGGTCGTGCATTTGTTTTGGACTGTTAGAAGCATTTATGATGGTTAGTGTAAAATTCATGAAAATGCTCAATTTCCTTTTTATGACATTTGGAAGCATAGCGAGGCAGTGTTAATTTTTTATATATGCAATTTATACGTGTGTGCAACATGCCAGTGACAAAATACATCCATATACACCGAAAACAATATCATTGATGTTTTTTTTTTAAAATCATTGATGTAATTAAACCTTAGATTCATTTTAGTTTATCCACCAAAATAAATAAAAAACTAATTTTTAAAGCAACATAATGAGGCCAATGTGAAACTACTATGAAATAAAAAAAAATTCAAAAACTTGAATTTAGTTCCATTACTAAGGAGATTATTGCTGACAACCTACCACCCACCATCGTGGCTCAAAACTGAAAAACAAAACTAATATATCATAAAAAATTAATCATGATCAGGCACAAATCTCAAAGCAAAGTTAAGTTGGAAACTTTCAAAATTAAATACATGACCATTCTAACTCTGATTTCAACAAACTTATAGTCGAAATGAGCTCTCAAAAGGACGAACCCAACGACTCCAAATTCGACTCAGTCTGAGCTCAAACGTGTCCAACTTGAAGGCTCAAACCATAAATTGATGACCAAACTATTTCCAAATGTGACATGCTTATAGTTGAATCAAGCAGCTTGATGAAATGAAACCATTGAGCCCAAGATCGTTGAATTTTGACATTTTTTAAGACATTCAAATATCTAGTAAATAATACACGATCAAGGGGATCAATATCTACCGTCCATTCAAACCACTTCCAACATACCCTTGATCTTCCTCATATTTATTGGTCATGCCGCTCTAGGAAATTATAAATAGACCGCTCATTTTTCATGGAACGAGGATTGAAGCAAGGAATAGGAGGAGAAGGAAGAGAGAGAAACTAGTGTTCTCTTGCCACCAAACTCCTCGACCACCATCGAACCACTGCCGTTGTCGGACTTCTACCTAGCCATCGACTGACCCCACACTTCTACCCGGCCATCGACTGACATTTGATTTACGCCTAGCCACCGGCTGATCTTAAAGTTAAACCTGGCCACTGACTATCATTAGTTCTTCTGATCTCCGTCGCCAGAATAAAATCTTTTTAATCACTATCGCCTGCCGGCTACGATCCTTCCGACCTTTGTCACTAGATAATGATTTTTCTGATCAATGTCGCCTGTCAATTACAGCCCTTCCAACCTCTATCGCAGAACAATGATCTTTCTGACCACTTCGCCCACAGATTAATATCCTTCCAACCTTCGTCGCCAGACTACGATCGTTTTAACCCCCATTGCCAGATAACGATCTTTCTGATTATTGTCGCCCGCCAAATACGGTTCTTTTGACATTCATTTTCAAACTACGGTCTTTCTGACCTATATTACCAAACAGTGGTCTTTCTGACCACTGTCGCCAGACTACAGTCTTTCCAATCTCTGTCGCCAAACTATTCTTTCCAACCTCTATCACCTGTTGACTACGGTTCTTCCAATCTCTATCACTAGACTGTTGTTTTTCAGACCTTTGTCACTAGAAAATGATCTTTCTGACCACGTTTGCCCGCTAACTATGGTCTTTCCGACCTCCATCACCAAACAACGATCTTTCTAACCATAATTTCTCATCAATTGCAGTTCATCTAACCTCTGTCACCAAACTGATCTTTCTGACCTCTGTTGCTAGACAAAAATTTTTCTGACTACTATTGCCAGACTAATGTCTTTTTGACCTTTTGTTGCCAGACATAGGTCTTTTTGACCACCATTAACGACCAATTACAGTCCTTTTAGTATATGTCATCCAACTACGATCTTTCTGACATCAATTGCCTGATAATAATCTTTTTTGACCTTCGTCCATGGGCGATCATTATCTTTCTAACCTCCATTTCCACACAATGGTCCTTCTAACCTCCGTCGTCTAACAATGATCTTTTTGACCTCCATCGACAGCCGACTATGGTTGTTCCAACCACGTCATTCCATTATGATCTTTCCGACCTCTGTAGCCCGCCGACTATGGTCTTACCGACCAAACAAATATGTCAATACTGATTCTTCCAACTCCCACCATGTAATGAACTCTATGTAATGTATGTTTGCTGTGTCAAATAAAGGCCTTCCTCCATGAAAGACCTTCATTTGTAATTGATTGCAAACACTAGTGGATTCATCAAACTAGGCTAGGTTCCTTTTTTTCCCCTTTTCAGGGCTTTCCATATAAAAGTCTGGTGTCTCTTATGAACGCTACATCCTTTATTTTTTCTAATTATTGCTGGATCTTTGTACAAATCTAAAACATTAAACTTTATATTTTTTTAAAGCCATAAATATTTCAGGATGCAACCAATTTGGTGCCTTATGTAAACGTGGTTCCTGATCGGGTAATTTTCGCATTAACTTTAAAAGGTCGTTTATGATAATGTCCTTACATCAGCCTTTGCTAAATCAATTTTAGAGGAATCATATGAATTAGATCTGAATTGGTGGGCGACCTTGGCTGCAATTATGGTAAAGAAAATTACTCTAATACTTTCAGCATCTAATATTTTAGGAAACTCCTAGCAAATGCAAGAATGATTCCAATAAATGATAACCTTTATACAGTCCCTAATTGGACTTCTACTCTTGTACAAGGTCTTAACTTGAACCTCAAAAAGGTAACAATGATATAAAGATTAATCATTTTTCACCTTTGATTCGTGATACAAGTGGCATTCACCCTCTCTCGAGTAAGGCATAATCGATCTCAGGGGATTCGATTTGACATCTTCTGCATAGGTTAACGTTAACGAATAACGCTCTGACAAACAATCACAGATAGGTCAAAATCCTAGGAAGATGTCAATCAAATTTTAAAATATTTGAGAAATACATAATTTTTATTGTCTTGATCGCTGGAGATCAATTCTTAGGGGATTCGATCCGATGTCTTCCAAATAAGTTAACTTTATCGAATAATGCTCTGACAAACAACCTCGGATAAGTCATATATTCTTTATATATTCTCTCAACCTCCTCTATATAGGTTAATGTCATTGAGCAATGCTCTAATAAACAATCTTGGATAGATCAATTATCCTTTGTTGATTTCTCTCAACCTATTAAAATCTTCGAGCAATGTTCTGACAAATAACCTAAAAAAATCTCACATATGAGATAACCTTAATAGGAAAGCTAATAGTGGTTTATATTTTAACTAGAAAGACTAAATGAAAGTAAGTGTTTGATAAAGTCTTCACTCCTATAAAAACCTTAGCAGGTTAAAAAATCTCGAAAGACACAGGATAAGTTTCCTCTAGGAGATAAGTTCATTTCAAGTGAAATATAAGCATTGAGCTCATAAAATAATCTCAAATTCATATATAATATCATTGGATTTATATAGCAAAATTTATGCCTCCATTCAATTGATACTATCAGTGTGTGGCCAGACTACGAACATTACACACTACTTTGAACCCTTCCATCAAGCATGTTTGATGTCCGGTATGGATGCATATTGCCTATAGCAAAAAATGTAACTTGACCATCGCCATCATTGGCCCTTTGCCTGATGTTCTCCTTCAGTCCTTCACTTCATATACCCATCTAAGGCTTCTCGCTCGACTACTATTAACAACACACCCCCACCTATCTCTTTTAGCTGTCCTCCCAACCATCGAATGCCATTAAACTTCCACTTGATCATCGATCGCCGACAGACTTCTACTCAATGTTCATTAAAATTCTTCTCATCTACTTACAATCATTGGTTCTCCTCTTACGTACTATTACCGTCATATCTTCTCAGCTTACCCTTGCATGCAAGAGGTAGTTAATCTTCACCTATCAAGGACATACTGAGAAAGTAAACTCTTATCGAGACTTCTTATATACTTCTTCTATACAAAAAGAGGGGCACTAAAGTTTGATAAGGGATGTACCTATCTTAGATAGTGAAATACCTCTAATATAAGAAGAACATTAGATGAATTCTACACTAAAGAAGGGAATTGAATTTGGATAGGGGGTGTCACCTATTAAAAATAATGGAAAGACTCTAAAGAAAGAAGAAAAATAAGGAAGTGAGAGAGAGAGGAAGGCTAAAAACTTTAACTTTCACACAAAGGGACACTTGTACTTAATAAGTGGTGCAACATATTCAAGATAATTAAAATCCTCAATTGCAAAAAAGCTAGAGGAATAAGAGAGAAGGAGAAGTGGGACAATTTTTCTCCTGCCTTAGGGGAGTATTTGTAGGAAAACACT